TGTATATATGTTTATATTTAATTAATTTACAATTAATAATGTACAAAAGGTATAAGTATTTAGGTTTGTATAAAAATGGTTAATTATTTATTGATTATAACTTTAATTAATATGACTTGTAATTTAAAGGTTTAAAGTATAGCTCGTATGGCGTAATCGGGACGATTGGATGGCATATAAGTATCATGTTGTATTAATTTAATAATTATTATTAGTGAATAGAGTTAAACGTCACAATATTTTTAATCAGCCAAGTTATTTATTTTGCATTATTTAAAAAGTATTGGCATAGATAAATAAAAATAAATATCATTTGGTTTCCAAAAATCCATTATAATATTACTTCCTGTAAAGTACATAAAGTTTAATGCATAGCAACTTTATTTTTAGATTATAAATATTGTTTTATGAATATTAAATGTCGTAAAAGTGACGTTAAAAAAGTATTAAAGATTTTATAATAATTACATATACAAAATCAATAAAATAAGAGTTACTATTTCTGTACAGTAGCTATATTTTTAAATATGATATTTACAATAAAATGTATTCAAGGTATCTTTTGTTTTACCTTAACTATTCAATGCAAATATCCTATTTATAAGTTATAAATATAATTACAATTATAAATTAAAATTGACATTTACGTTACATTTACTTTATATTATATGTGAACACCTATAGACTAAAAACTGCAACTTCCCAAATTACATTTATCAAATAAAAATAAAAATTAAATTAATTTGTTTATTAAATTTATAAGATTGTAATTTTTTAAAGAGTCATATTGTCATTGTATTTCTCAGTTAACTATAAAAGCACCATAGTATCCATAGGATAATTATAATAATTATAACTACAATCAGTAATTATAAGTATCAAATTCATATATTTGGCTAAATCTATTTTCATAATTTTATATTAATTATTATTGCCTAACATCAACTTACAGTTAGCACAAAATTACTAATCATGAGTTTAAGTTAATTATTGTTGTCTAATATTGTACATGCACAAAATCAATTGTCACACCATATCATCAAAAGGATGTGAAAATAATAATAATCAAGGTTTCGCAAATGTAAAATCATGATAAATTTACAACTCACTGTGTTTACAGTTACAAATCAACATAAAAATATAGGTAATAATGAAAAATATATTATTTATGAGTTAACGATTTTTTGAAATATATTCTTAAAATATATTGAAATACATTTGTACATTTGAAAAATATCTGCACACGTACTTGTGATTGAAAAATTACAAGTTAATGTTTTCCAGCGTACTCTTTATAATATAAAGTTTTTATTATGTTATAAGTGAAATATAAACCTTTATATATTACCAAATAATAGTTTTATACAAAAACTATTGTAATATTGTTGATATAATACAAAATCTATTATATTTTTAATTTAAGCATTGATTTAAATATGGTTGCATTATTTGTATTGGAATCATGGCTTATATTAGAACTTGTGGTCATAACTGCTATTGTCTTCGTATTGTATAAGTATTTAATTAAATATTAATTATTTAAATGTACTAAAATTTTTAATTAACAGATATTTATATATTTTTAAAATCATTATTTTAACAGTTATATAAAGGTTCAATTTACATTTATTTCTAAACATTTATTAATTTTTGTAAAGCAAAATGTTGTTTTTACATTAATTTGAGTAACAAACTATTTAAATATTGGCAAAATAAAGGAATGTTCAAAGAATAGATTAGCATTATTTATATACTCAACATTAACTTTTAGAATTAACATTGCCATAAACTTACCATTGCATATAGGATTAGAATTGTTCAGTAAGACTTAACATTAGTTCCAAAGACTTAGCTTTACCCGTGTTAAAATTATGTCATAGACTTTATAGATTAAATAATAACTCTAAAATTTTAATATTATATAATCTCTATCATAACGCATTTATAAGTTTTCAATGTATATCATAGGTACTTTACAAGGAATTTTGACTTTTTCACAAAGCGTGGTATTGGAGGGCCCCGACCTCTGCCTGGAGTTGGCAACCTCTGGGAAATGTATTTCACCTCGATGCCTGAGTTGGAATTGCAGCGCTACAAAAAATATGGCAAAATATACGGGTAATTTTGCATTCTTTAAAATGTTTTTATATTGTAACAACTGGCCATAACTCTGGGAATTAATAGATTTAAATTTACATTATAAATGTTTATTTTTAAGGCTTTGATGAAATTTCTTTAGCATTGAATTGTTAGCTTTTTTTAATTAATTATCAAACGATAGTAATTGCCATAAATTTGCCATGATAAGGGCAAGGATTATAATGTTCATTCATTAACAATAGCGTATTCGAGGGCAATAAACCGATACTGAGAATCGGTGACCCGGAGCTCGTCAAACAGATTATGGTAAAAGACTTTCACGTGTATCAAACCCGTCGCGCGGGCTCTAACGCCAGACACCCGGTGGCCGATCTCATTATATCCCAGGTATGCTGTAGTTATAACAATATTGTCACGGATAAAACTGCTCTCAATTAAAATAATAAATTACGTTCAAATTTTAATCAAACTAGCTGATTTTGGCGCTACTCTCAAATTCCGAGCAGCAGTTTTACCGGTTTCCCGTTAATA